TGGCCTGTGCTTCCATCTGGCCCCTTGGGCTTGAGCACTGGCTGTGCTGGGGGATGTGAAGTGCTCCTAGGCCACTGGGAAGTATTCAGATGGGGCCTCCAGCAAAGCACCAAGGTTAGGCAGAGGAGGTTGTGCTGTGCACATGCTCCTGCAGGAGCAGCCAGGCAGGGGCCTTGGGAAGGGCTAGCAGGCAGAAGGGCCTAAAGAACAGACATGCCCCAGCCCCACAGGATAGGATAGTCAGCCCTGCTCTCTCTTGACCCTGTAGTCAGCTGGGGTTACAGTGACTCAGAGGAACATAGGGAGCCTTAGGAGATGGGCACCTATGGCTGTGTTCTGCTTCAGTGCCCCATGTGCAAAATCCCCTGGACTCCATGCAGGCAAAAGCTCTGTCTTTGCCTACTCTCCAGGCAGATTCCCCTGCCAGTTCAAATATCTGTGGGGGTCATGAAATCTCTTGTAGCTAGGATCCCGGTGATCTGCAGTGAAAGCAGGCTGCCCCACCATCCCTTCACTTGCCTCTTCCCTAGGACTATTCAAGGGTGGGAACTAGCCCTGGCATTCAGCAACCCATGCAGGGTTCCTAGCTTCCTCTTCAGCCTTGGTGTCTGCACCACCTCTCTATCAACCCTCAGTGTTTTCTCTCTGAGGATCTGTTCAAAGCATGTTGATATACTTGATATTTTGGTCTCTCTCAGTGGGAGTGGTGCTTCCTGACTGTCTAGTCAGCCATCTTGTCTCCTCCTTCATTGAGTTTCTATAGCACATGAAAAAGTAAAACATTTGAAAACCATAGCACAAAGGAAGGGAAAAAGGAATTGAGGATATACTTTTGTAAGGTGCTCACACTGTATGTGAAGTGGTATAACATAATTTGAAGATAGTCTTCTAAATTAAAGATGTATACAAAAAAAAAAAAAACCCCAGGGCAAAAGTTTAAAAACAGGTATACATGATAAGCCAATAGTGGAGATAAAATGGAATAATAAAATACAGTCAAATTAATGTCAATGAAGGCAGACAAAGAATTAAAAAGAAATAACATATGGAATAAAACAAAGCTAGTAAGATGGTAGCTATTAATCCAACAACAATAATTACATATTAAACATAATAATTAAAGGACAGATTTTCAGTTTATATAAAAAGCAAATCCAACCATAAAAACTCTAGAAGAAAACCTAGGCAACACCATTAAGAACATAGGCATGGACAAAGATTTTATAATGAAATCACCAAAAGCAATTGCGACAAAAGCTAAAATTGACAAATGGGATCTAATTAAACTAAAAAGCATCTGCATAGCAAGGAAACTGTCATAAGAGCAAACAGGCAACCTACAGAATGGGAGAAAATTTTTGCAATTTACCCATCTGACAAAGGTCTAATATCCAGAATTTACAAGAACGTAAACAAGTTTACAAGGAAAAAAAAAACCATCAAAAAGTGAGCAAAGGATATGAACAGACACTTCTCAAAAGAAGACATTTATGTGGCCAAAAAACATATGAAGAAAAGCTCATCATCACTGGTCATTGGAGAAATACAAATCAAAACCACAATGAGATACCATCTCACACCAGTCAGAATGGTGATTATTAAAAAGTCAAGAAACAACAGATGCTGGTGAGGCTGTGGAGAATAGAAACACTTTTACATTGTTGGTGGAAATATAAATTAGTTCAACCACTGTGGAAGAAAGTGTGGCGATTCCTCAAAGATCTAGAACCAGAAATACCATCTGACCCAGCAATCCCATTACTGGGTATATACCCAAAGGAATAGAAATCATTCTATTATGAAGATACATGCACATGTATGTTTATTGCAGCACTATTCACAATGGCAAAGACATGGAACCAACCCAACTGTCCATCAGTGATAGACTAGATAAATAAAATGTGGTACAAATACACCATGGAATACTATGCAGCCACAAAAAGGAATGAGATCATGTCATTTGCAGGGACATGGATGAAGCTAGACACCATCATCTTCAGCAAACTAACACAGGAACAGAAAACCAAACACCACATATTCTCATTCATAAATGGGAGCTGAACAATGAGAACACATGGACACAGGGAGAGGAACAACACATACCGAGGCCTGTCAGGGCCAGGGCGAGGGGAGGGAGAGCATCAGGACAAACAGCTAATGCATGTGGAGCTTAAAACCTAGGTGACTGGTTGATAGGTCCAGCAAACCACCATGGCACACAGATACCTATGTAACAAACCTGCATATTCTGAACATGTATTCCAGAAGTTAAAAAAAAAAAAAAAAAAGCAAATCCCAATGATATGCTGTATATCTCCCAAAATAAAACAAATTAAATATAAAACATAGGTTAAAAGTAAAATGATGGAAAAATATATATGCACTATACAAATAGTGATAAAAGAAAGATTGACTATCAAAGTAGATTGCCATGGATAAAGCTACAATATCAATATGGTGGTACTGGCATAAGTATCAATATATCAATGGAACAGAATGAAGTGTCTAGAAATAGACCTACATATATATTGTTAACTGACATTTAATAAAGGTGGCAGGGCAATTCAGTAGGTGATAGGATAGTCTTTTCAATAGCTGGTGATGAATCAATTTTGTTAAAAGGTGGGAAAAAATGAACCTTGACCCTTATCCCAAACCATTCACAAAAAATGATTCTAGATGAATCAAAGTCAAAGGTAAAAAAAGTGAAAAGAATAAAGTTTCTTCAAAAACAATAGGTGATCTTGGGAAAAGCAAAGTTTATAGATAGAAAGGATGTAAAATGCACTAAATTTGAAAGAAAAACAATTGGTAATTGACTTCATAATAGTTTAAAAGTTCTACTCATCAAAAGATATTGTTATGAAAGTGAAAAGGACTTCCACAGATGAAAGTGAAAATTTCACTATATCATATATATATATATGATACAGCATTTATATCTTGAATACATATCAATCATAAAAAGGCAATTTGTGGTATAGTTATATGATGGGGTACCGTTTGGCAATATAAAAGAATCTGCTAACATGTATAAATCTGAAAACATAATTCCAAGTCAAAGAATTCAGACCTAGCAGTGTACTTACTGTATGACTGCATTTATATGAAGCTAAAAGTCAGGCAAAACTAACCTATGGTGACAGAAATCAGACCAGTGTTTGCCTGGGGCTGGAGCTGGGGACTGACCAGAATGGGAGAGATGGGAACTTTCTGGGGTGATGGAAGTGTTCCACATCTTGATAGGAGTGTTGGTTACACAGATGATATATTTTTCAAAACTCACCAAATTGTGTACTTATGATCTATACATTTCATTCTATTTACATTTTACCTCAATTTATCCAAAATAAAAATTAATCATGTCTCATAGTATGCCACATTCTTCAGTATCCTGTCCTAGGGTTTTAACTTTATAAGAACATTTAATTTTCATTGACATTTAAATTACATCTTACCTACTGAAATTTGTCTTTTCTACTCTTCTTTTTTGTCATTTGTGAAAATGGAAAAAGGTAAGTATTTACAATTAATCTTTCACATGTTCAATGAAAATCAAGTAAGTCAAGACTTTTTTCATCCTCAAACCTTGTTTCTATAGCTTTCCTTTCAATTTATGGACAGGCAGATCTTCACAACTCCCAAGTATGGCATAAAAATAGGATTAAGTGGGGTTGATTGTGATGGATATTCTCTGATTCTACCTACAGATCTATCCTCTACTCTTCTGCACATTATACGTTTCCAAAGAGGTTGATCTGTATTGACTGCCTCAGAGGTTCTCTTGCCCTTTGGCTGTGGACAACTGGTAGAACATGGGAAGTTGGGAGGAGACTGAAATTGGGTTATTTATCCCCCTAACATTTTCCCTTCAGTGCCACAGATTGGCAGTTGTCTGTTTCTTTACTGAAAGCCACAATTGTTTCAAGGCTACCCTCTCCTATACCTAAAGGATTCTACAGGTCTGGAGACCATTCTGTCTTCTCACCCTTTCAGGCCTAGCAGTCATGGTTCTGCTCTGTTGGTAGTCCTGTGTTGCTTCCCACCATCCCTTGTTAATCTCCATTAACTCTGTCTACTCTTTTAAAAATTCATTAAGTTAAATTTCATTAAACTTTCTTAAATTACTCTGAGTATGCTATCTAATTCCTGAGAAGACCCTGACTGATTCATCTCAATTATTTTAGTTTTTTAAATCAGATCTCATTTCAGTTATGTATGGCAGTTCTGAGGCATGTTTGCCATGTAAATATTCACAATCAAATTGGAAAAATCATAGGTATTCCTCTCCAGTTGTTTAAAAATATTGTGAGTATATTTTTGTGAGTTGTTTGTGAGTATATGATTTCTAGAATTTGCTTACTGTACAGTAAATAGTCTCTGTGAATTTCTCTTTGTCTTGCTAGCCCCTTAAATAAAATATATATGCTCCCTAGAAGTTATCTTTAATATATGAAAATACTCTAAGATATTAAACTGTGTTGGTGAAATTATGAGGAGTCTATACTTCCTTACACTGGTGCTTCAGGAGCAGTATAGTTGAGAACATACTCTGAGACTTCTATGTTTGATTATTAGCATACTGTATCATGAAAGCAAACAAAATATTTTGCATTAATAGAGTTTTCAAAGTACAAATATGGATCTTGAGTGTTAACACTTTCCTGAGATACAATCTTAGATATTTTTTTGCAATGTAGGGTAATTGTTTCACTTTTAAAGATTGTAACGCCAAGAAATGCATCAGAGTCAGGAAATTAAAAGAAAAACATCTGAATGAATGCATGAATGTGAGCGTACTAGAGGGAATAATAGTTGCAAAGCACTTCACTGCGTTTATCTTTCAAAATTGATATGAAGCAAAATTCATTCTAAATATAACTCTTCATTCTAATGGCAAACATGATGTTTAATTTTAAAGTAACTTTGCATAAACTGCAATACGCCTTCAAAGATATAAATGGCACTAAATCCACACTTGGATCAATATGTAAACAAACATCTTTATGTTTAGGGACTGGTCATCTGAAATTTCCACTACAAACAGCAAAACAAATATAACTCAGAGATTAACCTAAGTACCAAATTATATTTTACAGCAACATGTGTCATTATGTGCTCACCATCTTCAGCTAGATAAACCACAGTATCTTCCTTGGAGTCTGGATAAAGGGGTTCCGTTTCTAAGCCCGTTGGGATATACACTGGCTCAGGACAAGAAGGAGTCCAATCTGGAAAAAAAAGTGAAACATTATTTGAAAATGACTTCAAAACAAAACAGGAAAATTTTATTGCATATTTTCAAATTATTCATTGATAGATATAGGCTAAAATGTAGTGTTTTGTGTGGGGTAAGATTTCACTAAGGGTTCATTGGAAGTAATAATGAATATTGTCACACTGTGATACAACTTATGACATTTCATTCATACCTTTTTCTGAATTATTATATTGAGTAGTTTCATGATTGCTTTTTGCTCATTACTGATTTTATACCTATTTTATAACACAGTTCTCTTTCTCCTGAGCCCTTGATACCATTCTATCCCACCTCTGAGAATCTTACTCTACCTTTTATTCTTCCTTTCCCTTCAGCCTCTTTGCTTGATAATGGCTGTCAAGATAAACCTGAACATGTTTATAAGATTTAACTCCCCAAAGCAAAGATTTTATTTTATTTTATTTTATTTATTTATTGGAGATGGAGTCTTCTTCAGTTGCCCAGGTTGGAGTGCAGTGGCCCGATCTCGGCTCACTGCAAGCTCCGCCTCCCGGGTTCAGGCCATTCTGCCTCAGCCTCTCGAGTGGCTGGGACTACAGGTGCCCGCTACCACGCCCGGCTAATTTTTTATTTTTTTGTATTTTTAGTAGAGACGCAGTTTCACCATGTTAGCCAGGATGGTCTTGATATCCTGACCTCGTGATCCACCCGCCTTGGCCTCCCAAAGTGCTGGGATTACAGGTGTGAGCCACCGCGCCCGGCCAGTAAAGATATTAGACGCCCCCCTA